TTTAAGTTGCTACCTTCCTGATTGCGCTGCTGCGGAACCAGACTAGGGGCTACACCTGCAGCCGGGACCAACGAAGCCTGCGCGCTCTGACGAGCAGGCGCGGCTTCGTTCGCAGGCTGGTTTCTTGCCTGTGTCTGTTACCTATCGGCAATAGCCACGGCAATTTCACCGTTCTGCTTCTTGCCTTTTTTACCTAGTTTTTTATTTTGCTGCTGCGCTTTCTTTTTATGAGGTTCGACTGTTAAGACTTCGTCAATCGCGTCGTTTAAACCATCAATAGTTTCGACCGATTTTTGCTTACCGGGTGACTTCTTCGTTTCTGCGTATGCGGATTCCGGAATTAGCGTTACATCAGCCGTCGGCGGCTTTTGCCACCTTTTCCAATCGGCCATGCGACCTTCGAGCACCATACCCGCTTCTTTAAAACTATTTAGATCTGAGAAGGTCTTAGTTTCAAGATATCGCTTATATCTTGGATGTAGACCCTCTATAATCATAGCTAACTGGCGTCTCACAGACACGGGCGGATCAAAACGGCGCAAAATCGTCTGAAAAGCCACGACATAGTCCGTAATGTTCTCGTTCTCGCCCTGTGTCCTTTGACGCAATTCACCGTACAGTTATTTTCTGTTCAATCGCCGACAGAATTCGCTAGAAAAACTCTTTTTAAAGTCTTTCAGCGTTTTCCACATATCACGATTAACGTCGTACCACGGACGCGCCTTATCGCGGAATGCAGTGCCTATTGCTATCAACATCTCTTCATCCGAGATGCCATAATAGCGCTGGCAATCACTCAAACCTGATAGAAAACTTAGTGCGTTTGTACTATCTTTACCGGAAAAACGGAGAGACCAGGCATTGAGTGCGCTTCCTCCATTCGCAGGTATACCATTTATATACTTGAATCTTGGAGGAGCACTCTTTTTGCTTGGTCTTTCCGCTTTTACTTGCTTAGTTTTCCGCGGCGATTTAACTTTATAAGTGTTGCAACAATCAGTATCCGATAAACTCGAGCTAGTGTCGCTTCTGCTAATATTTTCTACCTGTCTCGTCTGCTTTTATTTAGCTCGCCTTATGCTAATTACGCTTTTCTCGCTAATAATCGAACCTTCACCTAATGGAGCTGGTATTTGCGCTTCCTCTCTAGTAGCTATCCGTACGTCACGCTCCCAGTCTTCAACCCATGAACTTACTCTAGGCGCGTGATATTTCGTTCTCGCCGATCTACTTGAATCGGCATAGGGGAATGTACTACCTGCTCTATTGTTTGGTGCGTTCGCGTGGGCCGATGGCTCAGTCGCAACCGCTGGCACGTTTAGCGCTTCGCGATTGCCGAGCGGCTTGGCCAGAGGCGGCAATCAATCCTGCTGTCCGGCGACGAGCGAGCCGCCATCGGTAACACGTCGTTATTACCGAGCGCGACTGTATTTTCGCCCGGCGGTCGAATTTGTTCACAAGGAGCGGCAACACCTGCTCTTACCTGTGTCGCTTGCTCTTATTCACTTGATAATTCTGCCGCTAAAGGCGTTGCAGCTACCGCGAATTCATCGCCCAGGTTCGCGTTCCGCGCGCTGCTTACCGTTGTTTTTTGCTGTTCGTCGTACAGCTTTTCCGGGATTCGGCCTGACGCAAAATCGTCCGAGTGCAGCGGTGGCTGCAAATCTGGCCGCTCTCTTAACAGCATATATCGAAAATACCGGGTTTGTAACTCCTCAAAATCACCGTGCAAGCTAAGTTCGCGATAGCGCATTAATTCCAACAGAACAGCCGGTTCTGTAAAATCAATTTTACGTTTTAATTTTTTCGCATGCGCATCGCGTAATAATCTGTGCATGACTATTTTATCTCTACACGCTAGCGACATTGTTATTTCTAAAAAAAACGAAAATCCGTAAATTATCTGCGACGCGAGCTTATAGGGGCTAAGCAAGTCTCGACCAGTCCGTGTAACCTGATACCTTACTGACTAATTTCTTTCCAAGCTATAAGCCGGCAAGAAATCGCCTTGCTTACGCCTATAGAAAGAAATTATAATTTATCAAAATTTACTTACCGTAATTTTTGAATAGGCAGTTTAGTAAAACTCTTAAAATAAAGAAAAAGAGAAAAAAAAACTAAAGCGAGAAAAGAACGCAGTCATCTAGCGTCAAAATGACTCAATGACGCACCGCTGTCATCCGACACCGCTATTAAGAAAGGTCACTGGCAACCACTAACAAAGAATTCAAAATACCGAAAACTCGAAACTCTTTTACGCGCACTCTTTGCCCTTAGTTCACAAAGAAAATCAGTTAACCGTTATTTCTAAAATTTATTATCAAACCATTTCTCTCATTTATCTCTCAATTACCAGACTCACAAGGGATGTGACAAAATTTTCTCCTTGTCACCAATTCTTTTGCGGGGTAAGTGAGGCACTTTCGCTCAAGGTAGTTGAGGGAGAAAAGAGAGGGAAAGGTCAATAAATAAATTATACAAAGACAAAAATCGAATTAAACTTACAACCTATTATTATTAATAGTTATTCACACTAACATACGCGCACAATATATAATCTAAAAATTATTGATTCTCTAACGAAGAAATAAAACAAAAGAAACTACCTAGCATCATCGCGATTAAATGTATCGCGGTCTCTCCTAACTAAACAACTAATCACGCACTTATCCTATTTACAAGCCTACTTAAAAACTACGCAAACCTATACCGAATAAGTTGTCCGGCACGTGAGCGCCTTTACAACCATCGTCCTCTAATTACATAAACTAAATGCAACAATGCACGGAAGCAATACAAAACTAAAATTAACATAATATACTAACGAGCGTACGTAGTAAAATAGCTGGCACGTGAGCGCCTCGCTACCTACCCGCACGCATTTACCAGTGGTACCGTCAGAGAGAGAAAGAGAATTTATCGAGAAAGAGAGACTCAAGAAGACAATGGAAACTCGACCGTTCTAGGCGCTGGGCTGCTAACCAAGTGAAGGAGGGTTGTCGCTGGCGAAGCTGTTGTCCTGGGCCTCTAGCGAAGGGTTACCGCTTCTGGGCGTTGGGCTGCCAATCAAGTGAAGGAGGGTTGTCGCTGGTAAAGCTGTCTTCCTGGGCCTCTAGCGAAGGGTTACCGCGATCGACGCAGGAAAAGAAACCGTTGCTGCAGGCGATGACAACTCTTGTCACTAGCGAGTTCAACTGTCGTCCTGCCCAAAAACTGCACTCTCTGCACTCTCACTCGTTTGGAATCGCGCACGCACCTTTTTCTAGCGCTCGTCTCGAGGCCGCTCAGCGGCGTTCGCTCCTCTCCCCTCCTGACCTATTAGTTAGGCGGCACGCGACTCGTCGCTTATCGATCACGCGTCGCGTGCCTGCCTATCCCTGCATAGGCCTAATGCTCTCTCTCTCTCTCTCTTTCTCACCCTCTCCGTGCTCTTCAATTTTTCTGCGCTCAATTGCCCTGGCCCTTCCTTGACGCTAAAACAAAAAGGCCAAGTGTTAGGCGCATACTTTAATGCACCCAACGTTGGCCACCACGCCTTGCCGAGTGGAGGAGGGAGAAACGCAGACGAGAAACCGGAAGACGCTCTGCTCTTGTCACAACTGTACAGCCTTAATTGCACCCGTAATTAGCAAAATAGTTATAAACTCTTAATTGAAAAAAAACTTATTGTAAATAGCTAAAATTAAGCCCGACGTTTACTGTAGTAATTAGATCACGTTAAGATGAAGACTTAATTTATCTAAATACAGTAGACGATCAAGGATTTGTGTACTCGAATTAACCTAATACTATCCGAACCTAGAATTTCATTTTAATGGTTATATTTTTAAATGTTTTCTACCGTAGGATAAAAACATACAAGCATTATCGAACATCTAAATTATACATACTCATAATGTATGTTTTGAAAACGTCGTACCAATATTTAGATTTTTAACATTTTATTAAAAAAACCATTTAAAAACGTTTTGAAAGATTTTTTTTTTACCCAAATGAGCAAACGTTTTGAAGTTTTCTGAAAAATGTTTTTAAAACGTTTTTGTATTATTCGGGAGTGTAGTATAGACTACTCGAATTTCAGATTTACTATTTTTGAAATGTGAATGAGGGAGGGAAAGAAACTGATGATATTTGAAAAAGCTACAAGTAGCTTATAACTTAAAATTTAGCAAATATTAATTTTGCTATGAATTTTCTTCTTGATTCACTGTAACTGTGCTCACTGTAATATAGTACATTCTAGTTTATGACTTACAGGCATCACTTATATTATTAAACGTATGGATGGTTGCTGGCTTGAATTTTAACTATTGTACTATCAGTATGGATGTTTCATATCAGAAACAATAAGGTAATATCAAAAACATTTAAAAACGGTTCAAGAAAAGATGATGGCAGATTACCAAAAAACTACAAACTTCAAATGAAGAAAATATTAGAAACTTTAATCAAAATGTATTAGCTTCTTTAAAATGTGGGATATTATTATTCTATGAATATCGAAGAGCAATGTCAAATTAAGTCTTGTACTACATAAAAAAGTTCTTATCTTTTAAATTTATGAATATTGCTTTTGAGTAATCAATCCAAAAATAAAAGACGTATATTTTTAGTAAATGCTTATATACTAATAGATATATGAATGTTACTTCTTTCATGAATTCAGTTTTATTTGTTATACTACAATGAATTTGATATTCAAACTTTGTAAAATTTTATAAACTGATTATACATAGCTGCATATCAAAAAATAAAATTATATCTATTTACTTTGACTGGTTTAGCAAATTAAAAATTGTAGTTATCGATTTTTCGAAAATATTTTTAATTATTGAAAAAAGCATTTTTCAACACAATATCATAGTATTTAAAAATTTAGTGATTGTTTTGTTAATTTGAAAAGTTCATTGCCTTATACATATATTTTGAATTGAGATTGATCTAGGTAGATTTTATTTCATTGGTTTAAGCCAGAACAAGAAGAGTGCATATAACCTTAATAGAAATTGTATTTATTTAGATTACAATAGTACTTGCAACGTAAAATACAGCACATATTAATCAACAACAATTCCAGTTACATCAGAAGCATTAATATAATAAGACGTGGATATCGATCAATATTCCAATTAAATTATATAACGAACAATAAGAATTTTTTTAATTCACTAAATAATGGAAAAAAGCACCTAGATTTAAAAATCGTATGTTATGAAAATGAACTTACACGTCGTGGAAATAGTAGCAATGTGAATTGAAATCAATAAAATGAACTCTTGAACTGTGATTACAGCAAATTGTAGTTGCATGCTCTGAAAATGAGATCTGCATTTTTCATTGAGTTATTTTTAACAAATAATAGATCGTGTTTTTTTAAATTGTCTTTTCTTTTCAATTTTTTATGTATATTTTATGTCATTGAAACCTTTACACTGCATAATTCTATTGGAACTAATAACTTACAAGAAGTAAATACAAGTTTGGATTTTGTTATCAATCCTAAGTCTCATCACTACGGTGAATTTAGCGTTATAAATGACATTATTGATAACAAAAATTTTAACAATAATCATAACAACGACAGCAAAATTATTAGTAATAACAATAATAATAATAATAATAATAACAATAATAATAATCATAGAAATGGTAATAATAAGAACAGTACTGATGATTATAATACTTTCAACAAAAATGTCAACAGAAATTATATATTCCCAAACGGAAAGAACAAGGGAAAAAAAGCTTCCATCAAATCTAATGACCTACTTCAAAGTAATATGAATAGAAATTATATTTATGAAAATTACCTAAACCAAATAATAACAAATTCTAATCATTCAGAATTTCAACTATTGTATATTAATGTTATAGGCCCTAAGGAATATGAAATATTTACAATCGAATTTCATCGAGTAGAAACCCCATTTATCATTGGAATTTGGATTTTATTTGCAAGTGCTGCTAAAATAGGTAAGGCTGGATTTCGTTCCGAACTAATGTATAAATTTTTGCATACGATTCTCACACTAATACTAGTTTATTAATTTTCCTCTAACAATTCATTAAATTAATAACATTAAATCATTACAATTTCAATTACATTTATAACATTGTATTTTTTATATTGTGAAAAAGGTGTTCTCAGCTGTCAGATAAAACTATAATCATTTACATTAATATCATTACGGACTAATAAATCTCACTTAATTAAAATTTGAAATAGAAGAAAGTTAGTTTTTTTGTGTAAAGAAATATAAATATCAAAAACAATACATTTTCCGAATTTTTCCATTAATATTCAAATTTCTAATTTGAATTATAATAAAACCTTCATCATCAGCGTCACAATTAATTATTTTGTGCTATGCTTTTATATGGTGTGGTTGTTTATGTAAACGTCATTAAAAATGTATCACATGGTGTTTCTATTATTTTTGAAGTCATTTTTTTTCATTTAATAAATTATATTACATATTATTTTTAGCGAATAAAATAAAACGATATAAATTTTTCATCATACATTTTTCCATATACATATTGAGTGTGACATCGTACTATATTTCGACTTAAAAAGGCAATAATCGTGTTCTTGTAAGCTCTCAAAAAAAATATTTCAATTAGTTCTAATCAATAATAATTTTCGGCATACTTTCAAGATATCTATCATAAAATATAGTACAGTTTTAAACATTTTCAGAATTTTTAAATTTAATAATACTTTTGCAAATTTTATTAGATCAAAATAATAGTGACAATAAAGAACTCTAATACCGAATCGATAGACGAGTAAAATTGGTAACATATTTGTTTCTTCTTTCTAAACTTAAATTTTCTTAAAAAATTTTTCTTTTCTTCCTTTTCTTACGTAATTATTTGGTTTTATTTTCTCATTTTTAGTTTCTATTTATTCTATTTTACGTATCTTTAAGTTTTCATTTTATAGACACATTAGTATTTCATCATCTATGAGTATGGCATCAAAATGTGCAACTAACTATGTACCGCTGATTACACATATTCTGTTAATTTTTTAAATGATATATTCCGGAAATTCGCTAGATGTCTTCTTTTTATTCTAACATAGTATTATTTTCCTTCTTCAAAAAGAATCGCAGACTAAAGTGAGTAGAACATATACCCCGCTGAAAATAAGTATATAAATTTTATATAAGAATATATCGTATATAAGTACAAAATTTGTACAAAAACATATACAAAATTTGTATGAACTTTATGTAATATTCGTACAAAATTTATACAAATTTTGTACATATATATTCCGACAAAATATGTACAAGACTCATACAAATTCAGTATACACTACCGTCCATAAAGATTTGCCATCCCCTTGCTGAAGTCATCAAAACTTTAGAGTTTTATGGCTCAGTTTCTATAAGAGCTAAAAAATCCTGCGGGGTCTCATTTGAAAGGTCTTGCTAGGACCTTTCAAATGTTGTAAAACATAATTGATTTTATTTGTTTTTTGTACAACTTGTGACGTTATAAACAAATTATTTTTTTTTTAATTTTTTCACATCAACTTCGACCCCAATTTATTTATATAACGGATTCTACGATGGAAAAACTGTATAAGCCATTCGATAGAGCTTTCAAAAAGCTACAAAATCCATATCCGGAAAATTTTTTTACCTTTATTTTTTATGAGGTATATGGTGTTTTATACAAATACAAAGATTTTCAAAAAATGGGCTGTATTTTTTTTATTTTCAACTCTAAAGAAAAAACTCTCAGAAGAAAAATGTAGTATTTTGCAAGAGTAGTATTTATCAAATGCGCCACTCAGAATTTAAAAAAAAAAAATTTTTTTTTCACGTTTTTTAGAATTGAAATTTTTCCAGAAAAAAAACTGAAATTACATATATTTAATAAAATTAGTAAGTAACTAGTATTTATAACTGAATGGGCTTACAAACAATGATAACAAGATACATTTATTGTATTCGACGTTTGTAACAGAGGAATTTGCATTGTTTTCATTTTTAATGACTTTCTACAGTATTGTGCTCACCGATAATCACTGTGATAATCACTGAGTGTTTACGTGGTTTGATTTACTTGACTTTCATGAATGTATACATATAGCAGAGAATACGTATGGAAATTCAGTCTCTTATCAGCTTTAATGAGTGAAATATTAATGTGTCCAATCTAGTCAGTAAATTATGCATGTATGTTTTGTTCATTCAAAATGACGAAAAAAAGAAACTTAAGCATTGAGAGCGATCTGAGATAGTAGCCTTGCATAAAGTGAATAAAAGTAATAATGAAATTTCCAAAATTTTGAATATTCCAAGAAGAACAGTTGATTATAACATTAAAAAATTCATAACTCAAGGAAATATCAAATACAAAAAAATTTCAGGAAGGCCTAGGAAAACTACGAGCGCTACTGATAAATACATTTGTAGTACAAGTACACATAATCCAAGACTCACGGCACCCGAACTTGCTGTTGAAACTCAAAAAGCGTATGATGTTAAACTTAGTGTTACTACGATAAAGAGACGACTTCATGAAAATGGACTATACGGTCGAATAGCAATTAAAAAGCCTTTACTAAAACCGATTAAGAAAAAGAAACGATTGGCTTGGGCCAGAAAACATAAAATTTGGACCATTGATGATTGGAAAAAAGTTTTGTGGTCTGATGAGAGCAAATTCGAGGTTTTTGGTAGTAAACGCAGATGTTTTGTGCGGAGAAAAAATAAGCAAAAACATTTAGAGAAAAATATGTGTGCTTCGGTTAAACATGGTGGCGGCTCAGTAATGGTATGGGCTTGTTTTGGTTGTTCTAAGGTTGGTGACCTTCTTAAAATTGATAGCAAGTTGAAAAAAGAAGGTTACAAAAAAATTCTTGAAAAAAATGTTGTATCTTCCGGAACAAGAATAATTGGTCGCAAATTTACGTTCCAACAAGATAACGACCCGAAGTATACTTCAAAGTTATGTAAAAGTTATCTTGCTTAATTGGAGAAGAAAAAAAAATTAGTTGTGATGGAATGGCCACCGTACTCTCCTGATCTTAACCCTATCGAACTGTTATGGGATGATCTAGATAGAGCTGTAAGGAAGGTAGGACCTACTTCCCAGAAGGATCTTTGGAATATCTTAGAAAATGAGTAGAAAAAAATAAGTGCAGAAACTTTAGAGAAACTTGTAGCACGAATGCCTCGAATTTGTAAAGTAGTTTTAGCAAACAAAGGTGGACATTTCGATGAAAAAAACGTTTAAATAATCAGTATTGTTTCGTTTTTGTTTACATCTAAAATTTATATTCAGATTGTGATAATATATTAATTACATGCGTTATTAGTATTATAAAAAATGAAATTATTATTGTTATGTTATTATTGAAACGTTGTAATAAATAAATTTTGTAGAAAAATTGTAACCAAATTATGTTAATCTATTCTGAGTAAGTAATAAATTATGGTTCAATAAATATATGAGGAAATCCACGGAACCGTTGATTTTTCGAAAAAGTAGAATCGACAAATTTTTTTAGAGGCACACTACTAAAACCTATACAGACGTGTTTCTTGTAGCCTACAAATGTAGAATATACCCGCGTAACTCCTTTTTACCCATCCCTCAAAAAGTTATAGCAGAAAATCAAAAAAAAATTTTTTTTAACATACGAATCGATTTTCTTTGATTCGATTGCTATAAATTATGAAAAAATTTCTGGAAAAAACGTTCAAAATACTGTAATAATTAATTTTATTAACTAACGTCAACATAAACATAACAGACAACGTTTGGTAGAGATTTTTAATTTTTCTTTCGTTTCTCTCTTATTTTTTGTCTTTTTAGAAGCAATTTGGCTTTTCTGGTTTTGTCAGCACAGTCTGTCGAATACAGAAAAAATAATAAAAGTAAAAATTGTTTTCGCATTATACAAGAATTATCTATGAAAAAAAAAAAACGAATTGATTGCACATTCCATAATTTATGCAATATATAACTACTTACCCATTTTCTTATTTCCATAGTTTAACTGTGCGTTGTGCCAAACACGATCACTCACTTGCAACTGTTCTCGAGAATAACAAATCACGATACTGTATACAAACGTACACACACGTGGCACGTACGTACGGAAACAGGATTTTGATAGTATACTTCCTGAATAAAACTTTAGCGATCACAAGATGTTTGAGTGAATTAAATTTGAAATTGGAGCTGTGCCTCCAAAAAAACATGAATTTTCCAAAAAGTTACGCGAGATATTTTCAAACATTTTGATTCACAACTTATTCATTATTGATGGCACATCGATTTTGGAGACGCAGTTTTATTCGTTTTTAAATACAGTAATAGCTTGTCGAATCCAAATTACAACCTTAGCATCCCTCAAAAAGTTGTAAGTGAAAATGTAAAAAAAAAGTCCGCGGCCCAAAACCAAGTAACGCTACTTTGAGGGCATACCATGGCAAGAGATTGATAGGCACACTAATGAAACTTTAATGATAATGAAGTTTTTTATAAAAAAAAAGGTTGTGTTAAATTTTCAGACCGACTAGAAGCTCCCTCAAAAAGTTATAGGAAGAAAACGAAAAAAAAATCAAGAGTAACGTTTAAAAATGTGCGATTTATTAGTGATTTTATATTTGGAATTCTTCTAGTTAAGTCTGTATAATTTTTGAACCTACAAAAATGATTTAGTTGGATAACTATACACTAGAATGGAGGTTTATACGTCTGATAGACATAGAAAAAAAATTTTTCCTCGGCAGATCCTTGAGTAACACAAAAATCAAAGGTTCCGTGGATTTCCTCATATCTTGTTATCATTGTTTGTAAGCCCATTCAGTTATAACTACTAGTTACTTACTAATTTTATTAAATATATGTAATTTCAGTTTTTTTTCTAGAAAAATTTCAATTCTAAAAAACGTGAAAAAAAAATTTTTTTTTTTAAATTCTGAGTGGCGCATTTGATAAATACT